CCTGGCTAATTTTTGTACTTTTAGTAGAGACGGGGTTTCACCATGTTGGCCAGGCTTGTCTCAAACTCCTGACCTCAGGTGATGTGCCCACCTCGGCCTCCCAGAGCGCTGGAATTACAGGCGTGAGTCACTGCGCCCGGACTTTATAAAAAACTTTACAATTAGCCAGGCGTGGTCGTATGCACCTGGCTATGGCAGAGTATTGCTGGATTTTCCAATGCCTCTTGCTCCTAAATACGGTCACAAGACTGGGTTTCGGACAGTAAATATACCAAGGGTTAGTTTCCCAGTGTCTTCCTTAAAGGTAGCCAGGTCACTCTTCTTCATCCCATTCTCCTGTCTGCTAGCTGCAAGGTAACTCCTGGAACCGAAGCAGCTGCTTGGGCCTTAAGGGAATATTCACAATGGAAGTCATGCTCATGAGCCACAAGACGGAAGCATCTGGGTCCCTGAGAGCTTCATGGAGCAGAGCTGCCACACCTTCCCTGGACTACCTACCCTCCAGACATTTATAGGAGAGAGAAGGAAATTTCTCTTATATAAGCCACTGCTATTTGGGATCTGTTAAAGCCAAACTTCATCTTAACTGCCACAAACACATTCAAGTATTTTATTTAGAAATACAGATGCAAGGCCAGGTGTGGTGGCTCACACCTGTAATTCCAGCACTTTGGGAGGCTGAGGCAGGTGGATCATGAAGTCAGATCAAGACCCTCCTGGCTAACATGGTGAAACTCCATCTCTATCGTGCCACTGTACTCCAGCCTGGGCGACAGGGGAGAGAGCGAGATTTTGTCTCAAAAAAAAGAAATACAGATTCAAAGAAAAAAGAAATACAGATGCAAATGGTAGAATAAAAAGATGAGGCCGGGCGCAGTGGCTCACACCTGTAATCCCAGCACTTTGGGAGACCAAGGTGGGCAGATCACATGGTCAGGAGATCCAGACCATCCTGGCTAACATGGTGAAACCCCATCTCTACTAAAAATACAAAAATTAGCTGGGCGTGGTGGC